CCGATGAGCGTGACCACGTCATCACCCTGAAAGCAAGAGAATGTCACCTCTGGGGACTGTGTCACCTCTAGGGACTGTGTCACCTCTAGTGTCTGTGTCACCTCCTGCAATCACACGCCGATATTTATTCGGAGAAATCAATAAGTCGCGCGAAAGCATTAAAAAGCAATGAATAGAAGCAATTAAAACAACACTCGGCTGTAGGCTGCGAACAGCGAGAGGCTGGAACACAGGCTGTTGGCTGTTCTAGCATGTAACAACGTCTGTTTGTCTGTCTGTTCTTAGCATCTAAATTTTGTCTGCCTGTTCCTAGCATTTAAAGTCTGTCTGGCTGTACTTAGCATCTAATTTGGCTGATCCTATCATCTACCAACTGCAATATATAGGTGTCCTCTTCCACCACCACCACCATCACCACCACCACCACCATCACCACCCTCTCCACCATCACCATAGTTATCACCATCAACACCACCACCATCACCACCACCTCCACCACCATCACCACAAGCACCACCACAACAACCACTACCACCTCCACCACCAACACAACCTCCACCACCAACACAACCACCACCACCACCACAACCACCATCAACACAAACACCACCACCAACACAACCACCACCATCACCAAAACCACCACCACAACAACCATCACCACCTCCACCACCAACACAACCACCAACACAGCCACCACCACCACCACCACCACCACAACCACCACCATCACAAAAACCACCACCACAACAACCATCACCACCTCCACCTACAAGCTAGTCATGTTGCAGTTTGCCTGAAAAAACTTGAACTGGCCAAAATCTGCTTTTTGAAGAGATTATTTTTCCCACTGGATACAAATAAGCCCCATGTTCAAGCCAGTCAATGATATTTCTTATCAAATAGCTTTTACTTGCCTCCTCAGGTAAACCCATTTCCCAGTACTCTAATGGGTTCTGGTGTGAGAAAATGGAAATGAGACAGTTAACGAGGGAACGCGACAAAGACTGGAGAAAATGAAATAATCAAAAGTAGCGGGGAAATTGGTCAAATCAAACAAGCCTTGCTAGAGATAAGAGAGCATGATGGGACGACTGGCTGATATACGGGCCACAGGGGGAGGGGAGGGGCTGCAAGTCCTGCTAGACTGCGGTGATAGATTAGATTGGGGCTCAGGACTCCGGGACACATAGTGGATATAAGACACGGGAACCACGTGACTGGTTCGATGTGCTTTCTCTGGGCTCTTTTATTCAAAGCGCTTACATAGACCAATTGTGTAATATGTTCACTTGACATGGGCTTTAAATAGACCAATTGTGTAATATGTTTCCTTGACATGGGCTTTAAATAGACCAATTGTGTAATATGTTTCCTTGACATGGGCTTTAAATAGACCAATTGTGTAATATGTTTCCTTGACATGGGCTTCAAATAGACCAATTGTGTAATATGTTTCCTTGACATGGGCTTTAAATAGACCAATTGTGTAATATGTTTCCTTGACATGGGCTTCAAATAGACCAATTGTGTAATATGTGCCCTTGACATGGGCTTTAAATAGACCAATTGTTTAATATGTACCCTTGACATGGGCTTTAAATAGACCAATTGTGTAATATGTGCCCTTGACATGGGCTTTAAATAGACCAATTGTTTAATATGTACCCTTGACATGGGCTTTAAATAGACCAATTGTGTAATATGTTTCCTTGACATGGGCTTCAAATAGACCAATTGTGTAATATGTGCCCTTGACGTGTGCTTTAAATAGACCAATTATTTAATATGTACACTTGAACTGGGCTTTAAATAGACCAGTTGTTTAATATGCACCCTTGACATGGGCTTCAAATAGACCAATTGTGTAATATGTGCCCTTGACATGGGCTTTAAATAGACCAATTGTTTAATATGTACACTTGAACTGGGCTTTAAATAGACCAATTGTTTAATATGCACCCTTGACATGGGCTTCAAATAGACCAATTACTTAATTTGTAACCTCGATATGGCTTTTACACAGACCAATTGTTTTCTGTTTAATGTCTACCGTTGACATATTTTTTGCATGCTTTACTGTAGGCTATTGAACGTTTCTCAGTATACTTAATGAGTTCGCCATTTGCTTTTAATCACCCTACTATTAGATATGCTTTAAGAAGTTTGAAAGAAAAACTTATTAAGCGTATACTGTTTTTCTATGCTGAGAAGGTGTTTTGTTTTTCTATATACATGACGTGTTGTTCTATGTACACCAAGTGTTGTTCTGTGTACACCAAATGTTGTTCTATGTACACCAAGTGTTGTTCTATGTACACCAAATGTTCTTCTATGTACACCAAGTGTTGTTCTATGTACACCAAATGTTCTTCTATGTACACCAAGTGTTGTTCTGTGTACACCAAATGTTCTTCTATGTACACCAAGTGTTGTTCTATGTACACCAAATGTTCTTCTATGTACACCAAGTGTTGTTCTATGCCGGCACGATCAGCTGGTCGATAAGAGCTCTCTAGTGATTGTCCGAAAATTGAGTTTACTGCTTGGCTTAATGCGATCGCTCACATTTTCGTCTGTATGCTTCAAACTACAGCAGGTTTATAGATCAGTATAACTACAGAAGGTTTTCTAGGAGTAAAAATGCAGGACTTTAATATATAACTGCAGTAGATTTATATATCTCAAAAGTAACAGCGGTTGTATAGAGCATAAATACACTAGGTTGATATTTCAGTAAATAAACAGTAGGTTTATACATCAGGATAATTACTAGGCTTATACATCAGGATAACTACAGTAGGTTTCTACATCAGGATAATTACTAGGTTTATACATCAGGATAACTACAGTAGGTTTATACTTTAGGATAACTACAGTAGATTTCTACATGAGGATAACTACAGTAGATTTATATATCAGAAAAACTACAGTAGGTTTCTATATAGGGTGACTTGAGTAGGTTTATACATCTGGATGACTAGAGTATGTTTATATATCAGGATGAGAGTAGGTTTATATATCAGGATAATTTAAGTAGAAAGTACGGTTGATGTGTGTATGTTTTCGTTACTTGAATGTTGGTTTGCATCAACCGATGTTTCAGGGACGTTTTCACCTATATGCTCATGTGAATTCACGCAAGTAGATATGTGTCCAAGATTCACATCTAACATTATACAGGCATTGCATAAACGTTTTAACACCTAATTTTCTTTAGGAATCCACGCCTCCAAATATAAGCAAGTTGAAAGCATTACCTGACCAACTTTGAAATGAATGGGAAGATTAGACTTTGTGTTTTTCTTTCAAACCGTCACGCTTGGCTAGAGTCTCACTATTAGAAATGGATAGGAGAGAAAACTCAGCTGAGCGTTCCCCCGAGTGCTCACTTAAAACATTAGCATAGTGAGTGTTGGAGGCACGGAACAAAACAGCTAAATGCTAGAGAGTTGATTGTAGCGAGTGTGTGTGTGTGGGGGGGGGGGGGCACGGAACAAAACAGCTAACTGCTAGAGAGTTGATTGTAGCGAGTGTTGGAGGCACGGAACAGAACAGCTAAATGCTAGAGAGTTGATTGTAGCGAGTGTTGGGGGCACGGAACAAAACAGCTAAATGCTAGAGAGTTGATTGTAGCGAGTGTTGGAGGCACGGAACAGAACAGCTAAATGCTAGAGAGTTGATTGTAGCGAGTGTGGGGGGGGGGGGGGGCACGGAACAAAACAGCTAAATGCTAGAGAGTTGATTGTAGCGAGTGTTGGGGACACGGAACAGAACAGCTAAATGCTAGAGAGTTGATTGTAGCGAGTGTTGGGGGGGGGCACGGAACAAAACAGCTAAATGCTTGAGAGTTGATTGTAGCAAGTGTTGGGGGGGGGGGGGCACGGAACAAAACAGCTAAATGCTAGAGAGTTGATTGTAGCGAGTGTTGGGGGGGGGGGGGGGGGGGCACGGAACAAAACAGCTAAATGCTAGAGAGTTGATTGTAGCGAGTGTTGGGGGGGGGGCACGGAACAAAACAGCTAAATGCTAGAGAGTTGATTGTAGCGAGTGTTGGGGCACGGAACAAGAAAACTTGATGTAAGAGAGTTGATTGAAATAATGTATTGAAAGCCAGCTTGAATTTGACTTGCCTGAGGCCTCTCACGGCCTGCTGTATACCGTCTGATGGCCTGGCTCATGGTGGCTGGAAAAATAATTTCATTTAGCAGACGGAAATGTATAAAATTGGAACGTTCATGGGCAGATATTTAGGGGGATCTACAGGAGCAGATATCTAGGGGATCTAGACAGGAGAGGAGCAGATATATAGGGTATCTAGACAGGAGCAGATATGTAGGGAATCTAGACAGGAGCAGATATGTAGGGTATCTAGACAGGAGCAGATATGTAGGGGATCTAGACAGGAGAGGAGCAGATATATAGGGTATCTAGACAGGAGCAGATATGTAGGGAATCTAGACAGGAGCAGATATGTAGGGAATCTAGACAGTAGCAGATATGTAGGCGATCTAGACAGGAGCAGATATGTAGGGAATCTAGACAGTAGCAGATATATAGGGTATCTAGACAGGAGCAGATATGTAGGGAATCTAGACAGGAGGGTAGCCGATATGTAGGCGATCTAGACAGGAGCAGATATGTAGGGAATCTAGACAGTAGCAGATATGTAGGGGATCTAGACAGGAGAGGAGCAGATATATAGGGTATCTAGACAGGAGCAGATATATAGGGATCTAGACATGAGCAGATATATTGTTAAATGTACATTGACAGGTTATAGAACAGTATATTTGAAAGCTCAAGTTGCAAAGAAAGTTTCAAGTCTGTGATGTGTAGGGAGGTGTAAAGGTGGGGTTGCACCATTCCACGATCCACGATGAGATATTTATCGCATAAAAAACGTAAATACGTCTGCGCATATCTTTTAAAAATCTAAGCACAAAGCATATGAAATATCTTTTAATCCTAATATTGCAATATTCGGTATAAGAACTTACCTGAAGGTAGGTTGTCATAGCATTTCCTCCAGAAACCAAAATGGTAGTTGTCTCTCTTGACAGTCTCCCCGTCCAGAAGAATACCTTTCGTATCCACAAAGAACCAACAGTCCGTCAGGATGCCGATCAAGGTCAAGGTCAGCGACACAACCAGCAAGAGCAAGGTGAAGATGAGACCAGCAAATGAGCTGCAACAGGCCATGACGTCACAGCGTGACCAATGGCTCTCTGAAGATAATTAGCATCTGGATCATCCATCAGTCAACACAACAGCCTGTGTGATGGTACTAGCTCTCTGATAGGCCTAGCTGCATGATGCTATTAGCTACGTGACGCTATTAGCTACGCGATGGCATTAGTTATGTGATGGTACTAGCTGTATGATGGTACTAGCTGTATGATGGTACTAGCTGCATGTTGGTACTAGCTGCATGATGGTATTAGCTGTATGATGGAATTAGCTGTGTGATGGTACTAGCTGAATGATGGTACTAGCTGCGTGATGGTATTAGCTGTGATATGGTACTAGCTCTCTGATAGGCCAAGCTGCATGATGGTACTAGCTGTGTGATGGTATTAGCAGTGTGATGGAACTAGCTGTATAATGGAATTAGCTGTGTGATTGTACTAGCTGCATGAAGGTAGTAGCTGTGTGGTGGTTTAGCTTGAGATGGTACTAGATGTATAATGGTACTAGCTGCATGATGGTACTAGCTGTATGATGGTATTAGCTGTGTGATGGAACTAGCTGTATAATGGTACTAGCTGCATGATGGTACTAGCTGTGTGATGGAATTAGCTGTATTATGGTACTAGCTGTGTGGTGGTTTAGCTTGAGATGGTACTAGCTGTGTGGTGGTTTAGCTTGAGATGGTACTAGATGTATAATGGTACTAGCTGCATGATGGTACTAGCTGTATGATGGTATTAGCTGTATTATGGTACTAGCTGTGTGGTGGTTTAGTTTGAGATGGTACTAGCTGCATGATGGTACTAGCTATGTGATGGTACTAGCTCTCTGATAGGGCTAGCAACCTGCGGCTCGCGAGCCGCATGCGGCTCTTTTGGTGTCAATATGCGGCTCTCGTTCCATAATAATTACATTATTTTATTTTCAAAACTCATAAAATATTATTCTGAATAAACAAAAACAACTTTAAACAAAATAAAAAACAACGAGAAAGGGGTGGAGTAGAGTGTATATGGACAGCTGACAGCCACTGGGCATTAGGTCCAGCCCCACAACTTTGCTGTAGCCAGTCCCGTGCCAATGGTTCCATGTTCTCCACTAGTGTAGTGCACTTACGAATGTTAGTGGCTCTTTAAAAATCGGGAAATTTTGTAGATTGTAACCTTTGGCTCTTCCGTCTCAAAAGGTTGCCGACCCATGGCCTAGCTACATGATGGTACTATTTGTGTGATGGTACTAGCTGCATGAAGGTGTTAGCTGTGTGATGGTACTAGCTGTATAATGTAACTAGCTGTGTGATGGTACTAGCTGTATAATGTAACTAGATGTATGATGGTCTAGCTGTATAACAGAACTAGCTGTGTGATGGTATTCGCTATATTGTGGTACTAGCTGATAGATACCTCACACCATCATGCATAAAGACATAGCTAGAATGTAAGCTGTAATTTTAAGTGAACATCAAAACATTCTGCTACATGTGCCACCGAAATGTTATTTATTTAAACACGTTAGCACCATGAAAAAAAAAACAACCTCAAGTGCTTCCACTATGAAATAGCTCCTAATGTGAAAGCAGTCGTTGATCGATAAAGCAAGCAAATCGCAACTCGAGATTGGTCTGTCTCCGTCACTGCTTGACCAGACCAGCAGCGGTAGCCGCCCTTTGTAAATAGATTAATGGCATGGGGGATCACAATGTACGCTCTTTAATGGCGGGGAGTTTTCATAGGGATTTATATCATTATCTAAAGTACTCCATCCATTGGTCCCATTGTTTTTATAAAGTATCTATTTTACGTGGGTAACAATGGATAGATGTGTTACATTTTGACAACCGATCGAAAGATTCCAGAATCGGGTAGTGGCACTAGTAGTGAGTGGAATAAAAAAAAACATGACACGTTAGTGTAACTGGGGAAGTGATCCTTTGTTGAGGGGGGGGGGGGGTAGAGACTCGGAGACCCCAGTGTTGGGGTGGAACCTCCTGAAGGGGAGCGGGGGTGTGGGGGGGACACTCGCAGAGCACAGGTTTGGGCTGCGACACGAATAGGTCTAAAGGATTGTCCTGTAACTATATGGCTTGCCGTCTGGTATGTGAAGGGGAGGGGTCTGTTAATCATGGGGTAAATTGGTGACTAACCGGGGTGATTGGTGTATGGGTGACAAAGGGAAGAAACTGGTGTGTCTGTTGACTAGGGCACAACCGAGTGTGTGTTGAATGACTGGTGGTGTGTCTGTCGATTTGAGGTTAGAGTAGTATCATCGACACATCGACACATTTTTTTTTCTTTGATTTCAAACAGAATGGAGTATTTTTTTAGACATCATTTTCTTGTTTTTGCAGCCAGACAATAATTGGTAAAGACAAGTAATGGCATCAGTATAGAGAGCAGTTTACAAACACACGTCACATGGTTTATCAATACAAGTACTACTATAGTCAACACACATAAATGCCTATTTAATATATATATATATATATATATATATATATATATATATATATTCCTATATATAAAGAACAATTCTTCGAAGTGTTGTAACGAATAGAAAAGTTCCACAGAGATATCTGTGTTGTTATAGTACTGCTATTGTTAAATTCTATTCTGTGTTGTTATAGTACTGCTAGTGTTAAATTCTATTTCTCATCATGGCGATCAATAAATCGAAAATAAAATAGGTCACGTTATAAGATGATTGCTTTTAAGAGTAGACTGGTATTACCTTAAATGATGTTGTCTTGAATGAAAGAATGAACAGACAGGAAGGTATTTCTTTCAACGCAATGTTCACCTGTACTTTTACCTGCACACACGGCAGGCGACACACCTGCATTAGCACGCCGTCCCAGTGTGACACGTCTTACGTCTTTGACAGCCTCGACACGCTTGGCCGGTCATGTCGGACAGGTGGAGTACCAGACACGGATCCTCTGGGATTGTAAATCACCGGATTAAATCAGGGGAGATAAGAACAAGCATTGTGACTACAACCATTCAGTGCTTGCTTCAACTACAACCATGTAGTGCTTGCTTCAACTACAACCATGTAGTGCTTGCTTCAACTACAACCATTCAGTGCTTGCTTCAACTACAACCATTCAGTGCTTGCTTCAACTACAACCATTCAGTGCTTGCTTCAACTACAACCAATCAGTGCTTGCTTCAACTACAACCATTCAGTGCTTGCTTCAAGAAAAATGCATCTACTTTTTAATCAAGAATTGATTTTCGTTCGAAACAGGTTGTTATAGTGTGAAGAATATTAAGCTACCAATCATATTTTCTCTACCCCTAAGTACCAATTTAGTGCACTCGATCAGTTTCCTAGTTTTAGGGGGGGGGGAGGGGAGTGTTGTCCTGACAGGGCAGAAGCACAAGCCACACCCCCCCCCCCCCCCCGCACACACTCAGATACGGAATTACAGTGCGGGGGGGAGGGGGGGGGCAGGCCTTTTGGGGGCCCACAGCCGACCATAATTAATTGGTTAGGGGCCCACAATCCATTGAGGTTTTACAAAGAAAAATGTACGTTTGTTGTATTGGTTGAACTACTATTCTATACTATAATAATTAAAAATAATACAATAACAATAATTTCGGTTTTATGTACGTTTATTTCTTTTTGTTTTACAAAAAAATGTGATAGTAAACGTGTATAATTTAAATTATCTCCATTGAGTATTTTACAATTGGCTTTATTTTTCTACGCGTTGCTAGTGGTTTTGTAAACTGCAGTAGTGATGCTCTACAGTAGCTAACACAAGCTGTTGCGTTTAAGACAATTTTTTTTTTACATATATACGTGAGCTGTAGTGTGAAAGTAAACTTTCAAACCACTTACATGACTTATTTTCCTTTTTAAATAGTAAAAAAAAGAATGCCCGTAAGCTCCTTTTAATAGATTTGTACTATACAAATTAATAAGCAATTGCATCTCCTAATTATTAGTTTTCTTAAAATACATATTAAAGAATGACATAGTATAAAAAGGAAATTAAAATTTAATAATATAAATGCAAAAAAAAAAATCATAACACGAGAAACATTACAAAGTTTTCATGTGCATATGATTTGACGGGTTCTCTTAAAAGATGCAGTACGGCAGATGTAAAATGAAATGGAGATTGTTAAAACAGACTAATGCACCCACTCACATGATTTGTTCTTGTCATTTGTTTAAAATGAAAAAAAAAGCAAAGAATTTTTTTCAAACCCCTATCAGGCTCAAAATGAGTATTCTATGTTTGTATTTGTGTTTGTATTTTGTGTTTGTATTTTGTGTTTGTATTTTGTGTTTGTATTTTGTGTAATACTGTATTTTGTGTAATACTGTATTTTGTGTAATACTGTATTTTGTGTAATACTGTATTTTGTGTAATACTGTATTTTGTGTAATACTGTATTTTGTGTAATACTGTATTTTGTGTTTGTATTTTATGTTTGTATTTTGTGTTTGTATTTTGTGTAATACTGTATTTTGTGTAATACTGTATTTTGTGTTTGTATTTTGTGTTTGTATTTTGTGTTTGTATTTTGTGTTTGTATTCTGTGTTTGTCTGCCCCATCTATATAATATATATATAGGGGCCCAACATTTTTTTTTTCCAAGGTGGCCCCTTTTTCTAGTTCCGCCACTGCACACACAAATAGTTTTCACCCTCCAACCAACTGTATCGTTTGACCCAAATCAAAGAAGAGATTATCTAATAATAAAATGCCATTAATCATACTATAAAAAATATCAACCACATTCTATGGGCCATGATAATTTTTACATATTTAATGTTTTATATGACGTCACGTGCGATGTTCATTTTTACACATCTGTGTTTTATGTGCTGTATCATCAATTGTGCAATACCATCAATTGTGCAATATCATCAATTCTGCAATATCATCAATTCTACAATATCATTAATTCTGCAATATCGCCAATTCTGCAGTATAATCAAATGTGCAATATCATCAATTGTGCTGTATCATCAATTGTGCAATATCGTCAGTTGTTCAATATCATCAATTGTTCAATATCATCAACTGTGCAATATCATCAATTGCTCTGTATCAACAGTTGTGCTGTATCATCAATGGTGCTGTTGCGTCATGTGTTTTAGCATCATTGTGCCAGGTTCGTTCCACTTGCCATTTTGAGCCTCTGATGAAGGTGTTTGAAATATTGAAGGCTAGTATGTGATTGTGGCAGATGATGAAGGTTTTTGAAATATTGAAGGCTAGTATGTGATTGTGGCAGATGATGAAGGTTTTTGAAATATTGAAGGCTAGTATGTGATTGTGGCAGATGATGAAGGTTTTTGAAATATTGAAGGCTAGTATGTGATTGTGGCAGATGATGAAGGTGTTTGAAATATTGAAGGCTAGTATGTGATTGTGGCAGATGATGAAGGTGTTTGAAATATTGAAGGCTAGTATGTGATTGTGGCAGATGATGAAGGTGTTTGAAATATTGAAGGCTAGTGTGTGATTGCGGCAGATGATGAAGGTGTTTGAAATATTGAAGGCTAGTATGTGATTGTGGCAGATGATGAAGGTGTTTGAAATATTGAAGGCTAGTATGTGATTGTGGCTGATGATGAAGGTGTTTGAAATATTGAAGGCTAGTATGTGATTGCAGCAGATGATGAAGGTGTTTGAAATATTGAAGGCTAGTATGTGATTGCGGCAGATGATGAAGGTGTTTGAAATATTGAAGGCTAGTATGTGATTGTGGCAGATGATGAAGGTGTTTGAAATATTGAAGGCTAGTATGTGATTGTGGCAGATGATGAAGGTGTTTGAAATATTGAAGGCTGGTATGTGATTGCGGCAGATAATAGAAAGCGGTGCCGTGCTGAGTGGGATGACCCTCGTGACGTCACCGACGATTGTTATTGGAAGCCATTTCAGCTCGGTTCGCTTCCTTTATTATTTATCAGTTAAATGGCGGGTTCTAGACCTGATAAGAGCAGTCAGACCGTACAGGGAGATGGGGCAGACAGTAGATGTAGCAGTGAGATGGGGCAGACAATAGATGTAGCAGTGAGATGGGGCAGACAATAGATGTATCAGTGAGATGGGGCAGACAATAGATGTAGCAGTGAGATGGGGCAGACAATAGATGTAGCAGTCAGATGGGGCAGACAATAGATGTAGCAGTGAGATGGGGCAGACAATAGATGTAGCAGTGAGATGGGGCAGACAATAGATGTAGCAGTGAGATGTAGCAGTGAGATGGGGCAGACAATAGATGTAGCAGTGAGATGGGGCAGACAATAGATGTAGCAGTGAGATGGGGCAGACAATAGATGTAGCAGTGAGATGTAGCAGTGAGATGGGGCAGACAATAGATGTAGCAGTGAGATGGGGCAGACAATAGATGTAGCAGTGAGATGGGGCAGACAATATATGTAGCAGTTAGATGGAACAGTGAGATGGAACAGACAATAGATGTAGCAGTGAGATGGGGCAGACAATAGATGTAGCAGTGAGATGGGGCAGACAATAGATGTAGCAGTGAGATGGGGCAGACAATAGATGTAGCAGTGAGATGGGGCAGACAATAGATGTATCAGTGAGATGGGGCAGACAATAGATGTAGCAGTGAGATGGGGCAGACAATAGATGTAGCAGTGAGATGGGGCAGACAATAGATGTAGCAGTGAGATGGGGCAGACAATAGATGTAGCAGTGAGATGGAACAATGAGATGGGGCAGACAATAGATGTAGCAGTGAGATGGGGCAGACAATAGATGTAGCAGTGAGATGGGGCAGACAATAGATGTAGCAGTGAGATGGAACAGGGAGACGGGGCAGACAATAGATGTAGCAATGAGATGGGGCAGACAATAGATGTAGCAGTGAGATGGAACAATGAGATGGGGCAGACAATAGATGTAGCAGTGAGATGGGGCAGACAATATATGTAGCAGTTAGATGGAACAGTGAGATGGAACAGACAATAGATGTAGCAGTGAGATGGGGCAGACAATAGATGTAGCAGTGAGATGGGGCAGACAATAGATGTAGCAGTGAGATGGAACAGGGAGACGGGGCAGACAATAGATGAAGCAGTGAGATGGAACAGACAATAGATGTAGCAGTGAGATTGGGCAGACAATAGATGTAGCAGTCAGATGGGACAGGGAGACGGGGCAGACAATAGATGTAGCAGTGAGATGGGGCAGACAATAGATGTAGCAGTGAGATGGGGCAGACAATAGATGTAGCAGTGAGATGGGGCGGACAATAGATGTAGCAGTGAGATGGGGCAGACAATAGATGTAGCAGTGAGATGGGGCAGACAATAGATGTAGCAGTGATATGTAGCAGTGAGATGGGGCAGACAATAGATGTAGCAGTGAGATGGGGCAGACAATAGATGTAGCAGTGAGATGGGGCAGACAATAGATGTAGCAGTGAGATGGAACAGTGAGATGGGGCAGACAATAGATGTAGCAGTGAGATGGGGCAGACAATAGATGTAGCAGTGAGATGGGGCAGACAATAGATGTAGCAGTCAGATGGGGCAGACAATAGATGTAGCAGTGAGATGGGGCAGACAATAGATGTAGCAGTGAGATGGGGCAGACAATAGATGTAGAAGTGAGATGGGGCAGACAATAGATGTAGCAGTGAGATGGAACAGGGAGATGGGGCAGACAATAGATGTAGCAGTGAGATGGGGCAGACAATAGATGTAGCAGTGAGATGGGGCAGACAATAGATGTAGCAGTGAGATGGAACAGGGAGATGGGGCAGACAATAGATGTAGCAGTGAGATGGGGCAGACAATAGATGTAGCAGTGAGATGTAGCAGTGAGATGGGACAGACAATAGATGTAGCAGTGAGATGGGGCAGACAATAGATGTAGCAGTCAGATGGGGCAGACAA